TATAGAACAGCCACAGGCTCAGCACCCGCCTACTTCCACTCACTATTACGAATCTACATCCCTTCCAGAAGTCTGAGATCCACTAGTGAGCAACGCCTCGTAGTACCATCACAGAGAGGCTCAAAATCACTTTCCAGAACATTCTTGTTTACCATTCCTGACTGGTGAAATGATCTTTCCACCCCTATCCGGAATGCTGAATCCCTGATAATTTTCAAGCGACAGCTGAAAACTCATCTCTTTTGATGCTACTCATAATGTTACGTAACACATGGCTTGATAATACCTTGTACTTATTTAAACAAATGCCTGAAACTTGGTATTACAAGCACTTCCTGTGTCTGTTTGAATCTTTAAGAAGAACTGCTTTATGTATTCCCCAATTGTAAGTCGCTTTGGACAAAAGTGTCTGCAAAATGACTAAATGTAAATGTAGTTCTACTTTTCTTTCTTTCCTTGGGCTACTCGAATCACAGCTTGCCTGGTAGACATATTGGCCTGGTTAAAAGAACATCAACTCTCAACTCAACCATAGCAAAGAGAAAGGTCCTTTTCTTCTAGCAAGCCCATAATTCAGCAACATCGTTCAGCAAAGCCCATCAATGAACATAGCATCCAGATAAGGCAATAAGTTGAAGGTTTCAACTTTCAACTTGAATGTTTAATGATTCATTTCAGCTTCACATACCGTTGCAAAGGCTGCCCAGTCAAGTAGATTCGCACTGTACTTTATCCAAAAGATCAGGTTCTGCCTGGTTCCTATCTGAGTACTCTGTACAACACTTTGTCCAGTCATCTCTAGACTATGGAATACTGCAATGCTCATCAAACTTCTGCCTTTTTTTCCCCCAAAAATATGGTTGTTCACTTGGTCTTCAATCAGACCAGGAGTATAGAACAACCAACGGTTCTGCATTTGCACCCTCCTACCCGCATCCACTTTTGCAAATCTATCTTTATCCCACAAGTCTGGGGTGTGTTTCCCAAAACCATTGTTAGCTAACTATAATCGTTAGTTCCATTGAACTATATTGGTAATGATGGAACTTGCGTCCATAGTTGCTTTTGGGAAACGCACCCCTGGTCGGTAAGTGAGTGAACCTTTCCGGAATATTAACTTTAACTAAATCTCCATGGTGGAATAATCGTTCTTACGCTACCCGAACGGCATCTGCTAATTAAATAAATGTGAATGTTTGTTTACCTGCTCCAAGAGGTTGTCAGTGAAAATTCGGGTGTAGTTGGGATGGATGTATTTCTCTCTCCAGTCCTGTGAAAAAGAAAGAGGATTAGTACTTTTGCCTATTGACTGACCTGCATTGCAAACAGTGATTAGCTCCCTGCATGCATCCGGCAGGCGGACTAAAACCTATATGGAGGTCAACACAGATTTATTGTATGTTTACCCTGTCAGCACTCCACATCATTATTGATGACAAATGTTGCACTAAATGAAAACTTGTGGATCATGTTGTTTATGTATTGTACCAGACACTTTGAACACAGGAAACATTTGATCACAAATCATCTAGTCACTCACCAGTGGGTTTTCAAATAGTTGCCAAAGGTCATTGTTATAATGAGATGTGTTATAGTTGGCAGTCGAAATAATCCTTCCAAACTCATGACGATTTGTAACATACATGAAAACTCCCTGTGGCGGACAAAGAAAGGGTAGTTAGATACTACAAATGATATAATGCTTTTGCTTATAATGTCTACAATGCAAAAAGTCGAATGAAAATTAAACAATGAGGAATAAACAAAACACATCATGCAAATAATTTAAAGTCAATGATGAAAACAAATCACAAATGATCAGCATAATTTGTGATAATGAGTAATCAATAACAATCGAGGACAGATGTTGGGAAGGGCTGTGAGAGGGATTGGAACGGGAACATAGGGAAGTGCTGGGAAAAGTGCAACTTCAGGAATCAAAATTCCTGTTTACTATACTAGAAGCAGGGACAAGGGTTCTTGCACCTAAGTGTGTGAAGATCCAGACTTACTCTCAGTCTAGGCTTTACCAAAACATGTCTTGCACCAGTCTCAAACATATTAGTCTAATTGTTAATTCCAATGCAAACATACAAATGTAACAAGTGCTACATAAATACCTAGACTGAGATAAGTCAAGGTAGTGATGGTAAGTTTCATGTTATTGGCACTAGTGTGCTTGGAAGGGGGTTGCTCTTGAATATAGATGTTACTGCAGGGAAAACTATAATGAAGGAAATCTATTAGACCCTTCATTGGCCTTTCCACCACTGTGTAGAATTTCATGGTTCAGTGTATATATAATATCTGGTGCTTTGTCCAGGTTAACCCCATCAGAAAAAGCAGATGTAGCTTATCAAACTCAATAGCATCACTTTTCCAAAGGGTTCCGCTTGTTAGGAGAACACATCTGTTAGTGCAAGATGTCTTCAAAAATGGCTGTAGTTTTAAATCAAATGTTTGAATGCCTACCAGCACATGCACATACATTTATGGAATAGAAAAACCATGAAACAACCGCATTCAGCATGAAATGGGGATTTATGTTTTTTTTTCCACATGCATAGTAATTCATCTCAAAATTGTTTCACCCAGTCCTCTGGGACTATATGTTCTGTAATCTGACAACAATGCTTGTGATCTTGACATTGCACATATGAACCCCAAGCAAGCACATATTAAATGTAAGTAGAAGTTGTCCTTCAAAATCTGCATTATGTACTACATTTGTTAATTTAGTTTGGTTGGAATATCACTTTCTAACCATTTGGAAAAGTGATGCTTTGCTTTAAAACATTTAAATCTTAAATTATGCATGATATAATAATCAAAATAAGAGGAACCTGTGGGGGTCTGAGCATATGGAATGATTCCGGAGAAGGAGATTCTCTTTCTCTCTGTACTGTCTAAAATGAAGGAAAAGCACCATGTAAATTATATAATGAGACATAAACAGAGTAAGATACAGAGAGAGAGAGAGATTAAGAAATTAGAATATTAGGGAAGATAGGGACACAGCACATGTACAATATTAAACTCCGCCAGAACAGTAGAGATGCCTGTGCACTCTTGTGTTGAGGTTTTTTAGATGATTTTCTGCTCAGAAAATGGCTATGCGCTGTCTTTAGGTGTCCTAAACAGTTAGCTGTAGACAGTTAGAAAAACACCATAGTTAGTTATTAGTGGTGTAGGTTTTTTAAGGAGGAGCAAAAAGCACACAGCCAAACATTCCCATTGGTTCAAGGTCACACTATGAATGTGAAAAATGGAGAGAGGGAAATGATGATGGGCAGAGAACACACTGAATGCATCACAGAGGCTGCCATAAACGGACAGACATGCCATGCCTTCACGATAGCGCACTGATATACTTAGAATACTTGCCAGTTACATCTTGGTCACAGAGGTGCAGTAGATGTTTCAAAGCATTAAGAAATCAGGCTGAATTGTCAAATGCAAACTAATATAGAACTATTGCTATTTTTAGAGGTGAACTGCTTGATGATCTACTGAATCTGTATGAATCTGTATTATGAAAGCCCGTTTCCGCCACCGAGTAAAAAAATACAACCCCAATTCCAGAGAAGTTGGGACGTTTTGTAAAAATGCAATACAATCAAGAATATGTGGTTTGTTCATTCCCTTTAAATTTTATTCAATTGACAAAAGTACAAATAAAAGATTTTCAAAGTTTGCACTGACCAACGTAAATTTATTTTGTAAATATGAACAAATTTTGATTTTGATGGCTGCAACACATTCCAAAAAGTTGGGACAGAGGCAAAATAAAAGTGAAAATATTATAGCATATCCACTTTAAATTGTTTTGAAACAGTAAGCAGGTAAATTGGTCATGGGTCAAGGTATCATTTTTGGGTATAAAAGGAGCATCTCAGTCTTTGCAAGCAAAGCTGGATCATGGCTCATCACTTTGTGCCAAATTTCATGAAAGAAGTGTCAAACAAATCAAAAATCACATTTCACAATGCAAAATCGCAAAGAATTTAGGTCTTTCACCAACTACCACACGTAATATTGTGAAAAGTTGCAGGGAATCCAGAGAAATCACAGGACATTGTAGCGTCTGCGTAGAATCATGCATGATCTTTGGGGTTTTATGGCTTAAGAGACATGGGCCAGAGCTCATCTGAGATAGTCAAAAAGACAGTAAAAATGTGTGCTGTACTCAGATGAGTCCACATTTCATTTTGTTTCTGGGAAAAAATGGATTTCGAGTTATCAGTCCCAAAGACCAAAGGGACCATCCAGACCTTCATCAGTGACAGATGCAAAAGCAAACATCTGTCATGGTGTATGAGTGCATCAGTGCAAACGTCATGGGTGACTTGCATTTGTGTGAACTTAAGGTACCATTGACATGGAGGCATATATTGGAGTTGTACAGAGAAATACACTGCCGTCAAGATTGCTAGTTTATGTCTCACAATTTTGAGAAAAAAGTCAGAATTGCAAGTTTACATCAAACAATTCTGAGAAAAAAAGAAGTCAGAATCGTGAGATAAATAGTCACAATTATCAATATCTTTTTTTTATACAGTGGTGGAAAAGGGCTTCCATTCCTACTCTTCCTCCCTTATTCGAATTGCAGCTCTATCAGCAGAATCCATGACATTTTGTGACTATACTTTTGAAACATTAATTATATATTGTAACAGTTTTCCTGGTGTCTTCCATTGTAATGCAGCATGACACAAATGCTGTTGATGGAGCTTTAAATAATACTAAACACAATATTAAATTCAAAAACAAAATAATTAATTACAACTCTAGACTATTATAAAATAAATGCTATGAATATTGCTGATCTAGATTAAATACTATAATTGCTATAATTGTAGTCATTTGTGTTCCAGCGGTCATACCAACTCTCTGGCATTCCTGCACATGGCCATGTCGGGGTCCAATCTCTCCAAGACAAAGACATTCCTCTCTTTGAGCTCATTCCGCAGAGTCTGGCCTTTTATGAGGTAGATATGGGCCATGAAGGGGATGTTCCACAAACCACTATTTACACAAGGAAAGACAAAAGAACATAGTCATATATCACATAGTCATATAGTAATATTTGTAATACTATTTTAAAATAGACTTTGGTAAAGACATGGCCTGGTGAGCAATGGGCATGCTAAAAAGTAACCTGACTTTCGATAGAGTAGATCCATTTTTTAACAATGGACATGCTAAAAAGTAATATGAGTTTGAACAGAGTACTCTTTTTGATTCAGAGAAGGATAAATGCAATTTCGTAATGTTCCAGTAAGATTATATACAGTGAAATATCCGTAATTTCTGGATCACATCCTCCAAGACACTCACACACGCTTTCCTTGCACGATGTCAATGTAGTCCTCAGATCTCGCATAATAACCATCTAGGCTCAAGGCTCCCCAAAAGTTGGACCACAATTTTCCGTGACGGGTGACAAGAGGGCCAATTATTTTTCTAAGGTGGAAAAAGGAAAAATCAGCACAGAAATCAGCAACAGTCCATAAATGTACTATGATAGGCCTACTATGCAAGAAATAATGCCGCTATTTTGCCACCACAAGAAGACTTTAAAATGATAGGAAAACCAAATGTGATGATATTTGATGACCACAAAACAGGTTTAGATTTGCTGTAGTTTGTATTGAATTAAGTTTCCAGGATGACAATATAGAGCGACATGGCGGCAAGAAGGTCCCCGGTTTGAACCAGAAGGCCTTTCTGTGTGAGTTTGCATGTTCTCCTGTGTTTCCTATGGCTGCTTTGGTTTCCCTCACAATCCAAAAAACATGCAGTATAGGTAATTTGGACAAAATAAATTGCCTGTAGGTGTGTCTGTGTGTTAGCCCTATGATGGACTGGCCATCCATCCAGGATGTCCCCTGACTGTGGCCTGAGATGCTGGGAAAGGCTCCAACATCCCTGCGACCCTACAGAGGATAAGTGGTTTGGAAAATAGGTGGGAGGAATTGGGAAGTTTATGGTACATAAGTGGTTACCATGATCCATGTGAGAACATATTCTTGTCAGGTTGAGAAGAAGGCATCCTTTTATTCAGGCACATGAGCGCAGTTTTATATGGTATTGTTCCTATAATCGTGAGAGTGACCCTGAAGTAACACAGTCAAGCCCTTCACCTCTGTTGTGACCTTAAACTCAACAAGCATACAGAATATCACTTTACTGAGGTAAACCTGTCATTCAAAACACATTAGTGGAAATTATAGTGTTGGTCAACAATGTGAGAGCAAGAAAGTAAAATTCCACATTTCTACGGTTCCCGGATACGATTTCACTCCACAAGCCAGAGGCCAGCAGAAAGAGTTCCCAAGCCTTCTTAAAATATCTGAAAAAGGGCTTCCTCCATAGTCATGCGAAAGAGCGCTTAAGGTTGTCACATTAAATGTGACTGAGTTCGGCCTTGTTTCTTATTTAAAGTCCAGTGGCATTATAAAAGTGCATGCGATATAGAGCAGACTGTTTCTATGCACCATGAGAAAACAGGAAGCCACCCGTGCTTATTTTTAAACCTTGAGGGATTCGCATTGAGTCGGCTGTAATGTTCCTGTGGCTTTAGCACATGAGGGATTCAAGTCTGTTCCCTCAGACAAAACGGTTACTGTGGAAGATTCCAAAGCATTGAAATGCTCGGCATTGATTAAAGGGAAACTACCTGTTTTGCTCAATGAGAAGTTTTAGGGTCTGTCGGTTGGTGAGCATCACATCTGCATCAATGCTGAAGTAATAATCACAAGAAAGATCCTTCCGGCACAAATCCCTGTTAGAAAATAGTGAGGGTGTCATTATTAATTATAGCAAAATTCAGGGCAATGTTGTTTCTCATGAACAGCAGTAAGACTGAACTGAGAGAATTCTGCTGAACTTTTTTATTTCCTGAAATGTGACAAACTGCATTCAAATGTCAGAGATCTGAATAATAACACTAACATTTCTTATCAAATTCCTTCAAATTCTTCCAAGACCAAATTGTATGAGCCCTTCTGTTCTATAAAGTCTTTCAGAAGAACATCTGAGAACTTAAAGGGTTAGTTCACCCAAAAAAAGGGTGTTGCATTGCTTCAGTCCAAAAGAACTTAAATAAAAATCGTCTCCTTAGCTATTAACAATATCTGAGCAATATGATGTTCCGCTGAGTATCATTCTTTGAATATTTGTTACATTTTCTTAGAACGCTCTGCTCTGAAGCACAATGGCAGGAAACAAACATATTCTGTCTGCTCTGACATCTTATGCAAACCAGCATTTTTTTGGACCTAGTAATTAAGACAAACAACTTGAGTGATATCACCATGTCAACAGCCACTGATGCCAAACACAGACATGCAGTAAGAAAACAGAGCCAGGACGAGCTAAGAGAATGTATGTGTCTACTGGACAACCTGTAGAGTAGCCCTAAAATATGTGATAGTATATGACACAATACATCCACCAAAAGCTTATGGATGTCAGTTATTTAAACTTGTCTGTGCAAAACTCATCACCAATCCAACAAGTCACGTACTGAAGTTTAATATGTGGAGTTACTAACTCTAATTATGAACAATAGTAATAATAACACTTAAACAAGCAGCAACAATTACTATTAGAACCAGCTAGTTAAAGGTAGTTGTAAAAATAGCTCAGAAAAGTCAAATGAGCATATCTAACAGCATTTGTTTACAGATGTCACTTGGTTTGATTTTGTGATAGCTTTTATGGTAAGTGTATTAAAGCAGGCATGTACAAGCAGCTTAGTTTTGGAGCTGGGATGGGAATCTTGGAGACAGCAGTGTTTTGGGGAGTGCTAAACTAAGAGCAAATAGAAGGGTTCAGAGGAGCTTCTTCTGTATTTTCTCGGTACTTTGCTATCGGAGGGGCAGATTTACTGCTTTGTGGTGAGTCGGATGTTGTCTATGTGTTTTTATTTGTAAGGAGCTGAAAAGTTTGCTGACATGTGGCAAGGGTTTGCGTTTATCTTTGATCAGGAGTTAGAGCTTGAATTGCTCAGATTTGCATTGTAATTTACTTCATTATTTGCATATTTTCGAGAGTTACTCTGAAATTAGAGGGATGCTTACATTCCCATGTTCCTTGCTTCTCCTTGAGTTAAGTTCTCCTCGGGGCCAACAACTTTAAAACTGCGGAATACATCCTTGTTCTCTTCCCAAAACTTCTGTATGTGCTTCTCATGGTAAACCTCCTGAAGAACAAGACGTGGATCAAGCACGGTCAAAGACAGACGGTAAAATCCAAAAGGTCAAATGGTTCTCATTGCTTTGTCAGCCAAACACTCACACTGTTATGAACAAAGACATTCAGTTTATCTTTGGGATAATCTAGACTCAGGAACCTCTCGAGGAACTCTGGCAGGAATGGAGTCGGCTGCTCAATGTATATACCAACAGTCACTTGTGGAAATTCCTGTTTAGATAGAGAGAAAAGTCTGGTCAAACAAAAAAAAATCACAGTAGGAGTATTTTTATTGCGCAGTAATTGTGTATTGCAATATAAATATTTTGCTGGGAACTCAACAAAATATTATTTATATTTTAGCAACTCTGTAGGGTCGTGGGGATGCTGGATCCTATCCAGTGTCTTGGGCCGAAGGCAAGGAAACACCCTGGATGGATGGCTAGTCCATCACAGGACTAATACACAGAGGCATACTTAATAACCCTGTTGTAGTGATTTTTTTTTTTTTTAATAATGCAGTGAATTAATTTGATAAATGAAAGATACTTAATCTAATTTAATTATTTGTCCAGCAAAAACAGTGTCACGTTATGTAACACTAAAATGAAAAACCAAAAACTCAAAAGAGTCAAACAAATATTATAAAGCTCTTAATTCTGAATGGATTAACTATATACGAACTGTAAAATTGAACTAGTAAAATAGTTCATATACCACAAATGTGAAATTCTGTAACACCCCTTAATATCAAGGTTTTCCTTGTCTTGACTTGTTTGTATTTTCGCTCTGTATTTTCACATTATTGTTCCTCTCTCACATGTGAATAATGGGAATATAGGATAACGAATATATCTACCATGGTTAAAATGGTATAGCAAAATAATATACCATCCAGTCTTATTTTTTACATAGCAAGAAGCGCTGCTGGAGGTCTGGAAAGTTAAAGTTTCTTTCCCATGACATTGAGCTTAAGGTTATATAGATCTGTCACCACTGCTTTTGTGGTTCTTGACCAGTCTACACAGCTCACTAGATGAAACGGGAACTGAGTGGCACCATGTAATTTCCCAGTTCCGACCTTGGCTCTGGGTTTCTGAAGGGAGTGTCCTAGAATCGAGCCAGAAGTCTTTAAATTGTTACCGACAGAAGAGCAGGGACTAAACAGGAGACTCAGGGGATTCTGCGGAGTCTAGACCGGTACAGTTTCCTTTAACGGGGCCCTTTCAACCTCAGTATATGCAGTGTGAGATTTTAAAACCTTGTCCCTTCTTCAAGAACCAACCCAAAACCACTGAGCAGATGAGAGTGGTACGACCCAGCCACTCCCTCGTCTTGACAAACAACAGACTCTGGGCTTCGTCTCATCACCATTTCCAGTGCTTCCTAGAAATAAACCAAATGTGTCTGATGTGTTAAACAAGGCTTTTTGTTTCGCTTGACCAGTCATCTGAGGTTCTACCAATCACTGAAATGAAAAAGTTATCCTGCCATTTGTTCTTTAATGTAAGATATAGTATACTTTTTTCCAGACCAGACAAAGAAAAAAATAAAGTTCTACTACTCTACTGTCTCAATCGCATTGTTTGGTAACACTTTTGATTAGGAAGTAGGAACACATATTCACTATTAACTAAGAGTTTTCCCTAAATAACCTCCTAATCGTTGCTTATTGATAGTAATTAAGGTAGTTGTTGTAGTCGTTATATTTATCTGGAATCTGGATCTGGAATATGGTCATGCATTAATATGTGCTTTGTAAGTAGTAGCCAAAATGCTAGTAATATGAATGCTAATAAGCAAATAGTTAATACCGAACAGTGTTCCTTAATCTGTATTACCGATTGTTTCAACTCATTCTTATTCATAGTAAACACTGTTTTGGAATTGTCTTACTATCCTGGGCTGCATTTCCCAAAAGCATCATAAGCCTAAGTAGATGGTAGATCCATTGTCTCCAATGGTCTCTACGATCAGCTTATCTCACAATGCTTGAGAAATGCAGCCCTGCACTGTTTGTGCTATTGATAGATAATCTCATATCATGCGGATTGATGAGGACTGATGCTATTATAGTTTTCTAAGTGACTAGACTTATGATTTCTGCCTGGAGGACCATAAAATGGTCTAATAATTCTACAGATTTGTGACAGATGGTCCAAGACATAACCAGAGACTAGATTACCATAGAGATTTGGGATCTTTTGACTTGGGCCATTGAGCACCTACCCAGATCAACCTAAAAAAAGCACCTAGCAATGCCACCAAGCAACCAACCTAAACATGTCGACATGAAATGAAAATTCATTATATCATCCTGTTGCATTCATTCTTGATATGAAAGAAAAGATCTGTTGCTGCATTTCATCGCAACTTCATAACATTCTAGAAACCTCTCAGAAAACCTTAGCAGTCTGTTATCAAATGCTGATAAATGTGTCAGTATTATCAGGTCAGCTTGAGACCTGAATTTTGCTCTGGCAAATACTACAAGCAAGAAATGTGTTATTTCCACATCTGTAACTCAGGCTTATTGGAAAGAACTCAAAGCCCTTTTTGCCAACCTTAGCTGAACCCTACGGCAAATTTTCAGGACAACCACTTGAAGTTACCCCGTGGATAAAACCCCACATTGAGCCGCCCGCTAAAGAGAGGTCTGGTTGACAGCAACACCCCAGTAAGTGAAACTGTCCTAAAACCAAAAGCCATTTCCTGCACCACAGCAGTGCACAACTTCCTCTTCCTCAAGTGGCTCCTCATGGGCATTTATAATTTAAGGAATGTGTAAAACTAGGAAAAGCTAGTTGTTCACTCAACATATACAGGCATGTATTAATAGAGCTGGAAATGTTTCATTGTTTTAAATGGCGATTTTAAGATATAACTTTCTGGTGCTGAGAGAAAAAGGAACAAAAACAGCTACTGTGGCTTTCATTGGATGACTCACTTTAAGCTGAGACAAATCCACCATGTCTTGGTCACAGATGGTACAGACTTGCTCATAGTTCCACACATTGGGGATGTAGTTGGCCAAGTAATTGAAGTATATCTGTGGGAGAGAAAAAATACATTTTAGGTATTTATTTATTTATATAATACTATTAAATAATAATAATAATAATAATAATCAAAAGCATTAAAAATAACCTTTAAAATATTTATTATACAAGGTCGAGATGATTTATGATCCAAGATAGGAAATGTACACCCATACTCCATCCTTGCTTTTAGTAGTTAAATCCAATTTTGGTCAGGACAACAAACTAAAAAATGAATCCTGCTGTCAAATTTTCATGACCTACAGTAACTAGAACTATAATTATTGCTGATCTGTTACTTTAACACAACATGCATCAAATAATTCTCAATTGGGAATTTACAGGATAGCGTCACAGGGAGGAACATTTTGCATTGATGTTCATTTTGTATTTAAATAGTGTGACAGACCAAGCATATTAACTGTTTCGAAGGGAATGATGTTGTTGTTCTTGCAAAAGCGTGTTGGCTTATGGGAAACAACTATGTTTTATCTTAGATCAGGACACTGAAACTAATTTTACCATAAACAGGTTGTCTCAAATTTTGCTGAAAAAGTAAATCTTAAATATTTACTTTGATTGATGCGATAAAGTTGAGCATTTTACAGCAACCCACCCTCTGTGAAGCCCATGGGACACCACATCAAATATTATTTACAACAACAAACATTTGCTATATTTACCTTTACAGTATATTTGTCATACAGAAAGAGAAAACTACTGTCATGAACATTAGAACTAAGGGACTCTGGCAAGATACAATGACAACATTTAATAATTTAGCACTTCTTTCCAAAAAAGTCTTACATCATATATATATATATATATACTGGCTGTTGGACACAGATTTTGGCAGGACAGCTGTGCACTCTTTTGTCATGCTGCTTTCGATTATAGGAAGTTAGACTGTAATAGAAAGGAGGGGATCTTCAATTCAATCCAGCCTCAACCACATTACAGATGGTATCCAGATGCTGTCTTTCTAATTTATCCCATGTTCATCCATGTTAGATAGTTTTAGATAATTTAACATTTATAGTTGGCTGCTAAGACTGACAACACCTTAGAGACGCAAGTCATGACCTCACATGCTGTGAGGTCAATTGGTTAAACATTACTGACAGAAAACAGGAGTTGCTCACTGATTCCAAATGAAGAGAAGCCATAAACCAATCCGCTGGCTTTGCATTCTGGTCATAAGCTACTACTGTGTATCAAGCCTTGTTACTTTTATTGGACCTTGTTTGAGTATTTACGAGAACATCTGTATTCCCCAGGGCATGTTAAAGACCCTGGAGATCAGAGAGATCCTTCGGGATGGACACAAGGCAGCTTGAATGAATCAGAGAGCATAAGGGTGAGCTCTGGGTGGATGATTATTCATTAGAAACAGCACAGATGGTTGCGTATTAGGAGAAGATGACTCCACACAGTGCTGTGTTTGTTTAATCTGTCACTGAGGTGCAGAAGGAAAAGCTCTGGGTCTGAGATTACATTATCACCCAGACATCCTGCTAAAATCTCAAACTCTACAGTTTAACAAAGACAGCTGGGCAATGACTGCAAGATTTTTGGCTGAAGTACTGTCTAGTATTTAATCACAAACTACAGTCTGGGACATAATTTCAATAGTAACTCATGTTGTGTTCTAATGGAAAATACTATCAGTTTTGCGCAACATGAGGGAAGGTAGAAGACAGAACTGAATAAACTGCAGAATGTACGACTTGAATGCACAGACAATTTAGACGTACAAATATGTACGTTCTACTACTGACAAACATTTGTTTTACCTACAATATCTGTGACAATGATCAGACATACTTTTATTTGGATCAATCCACTGAGTGCCACAGTTGAACCTACGTTCAACTGAAAACCCCATTAAACCTACATTCAGAGGACGCCCAGGACCTCAATATCTATTAAAAGGTGTCCTAATAGAAAAATGCCTGAAAAAAGTTAACATACTGTAACCTCAAGTGCACAGAAAATGGCCGTTATTTTGATTCAGGTCAACTTTTTTTACACTGTCCCCATTTTTTACTGACATGAAGAGAAAGAAGACATTTACCTTGGTGTTCACATTTCCATGGATAATGGCTGGCAGACTGTTGTAGACTGTGTTTCTCACTCGCACTCGCTCCGTTCCAAACTTTAGGAGAACTTCATCTAAATTCAAAAATAGATTTGTGCATTCTTAGATTCAGTACATCTGTCTAATTCTTTTGAGTGTTTAATTGTTCAGCAGGCAAAAAGTTTAAGCCTGGGCCCTGAGACTAGACCTCTTCTCAACTATAGGCCACATGATTAGAGGTGTTACTCCAGTCTGTAGCACAAAAGGAGATGAGTTACATTTATGGATTTATTCAAATCCCTATATGAGCAGTAGTATTAGTGATGCCAAAACCAAAATTGTTACGATGCAAAATCTAAATCAAACTTTGACGTCCCTTTATTAATCAGCTATGCATGATGCAAAAATGAATTGTTTTTTTAGCAAGTTTTATACACCATCTTGGATTGACTCACCCATGGCTCCATTCAAATTCTGGAAAATCTCACACTTGTGGTCCAAGGTCATATTAAGTCTTTCCTAAAATAGAGAACAGAACACAGTGGAGTTTGCGTAAAAGTGACCGTGTGACCTTTGTGTAAACTGCTTATAGTTGTGTATTTGTTTGGTTTGTTTGAGTGGTATGATACATTTGTAGGTGTTTTATAAGTGCATGTGGTCAAGTTACAAGCACATTTTATATTCTCACAGAGTGCCTTAGTTCACCCAAAAATTAAAAGTATGTCATTGTTTACTCATCTTCACTTCTTCCAAACCTGTACGAGTTTCCTTCTTCTGTTGAGCACAAACTAAATCATTTTCCATTCTTCAGAATATCTTATTTTGTGCTCAACAGAAGAAAGACACTCATACAGGTATGGAACAACTTGAGAGTGAGTAAATGATGACAGAATTTTCATTTTTGGGTTTGGGTTTTTTCACTGACCCTCTGAAGTGGATCCACGTAGATCTTTGTGTAGAATAGCTGATCATCATCATTATCATGAAGGTCCCACTTGTTCACAATCCTCTGAATGTATGGAGCATACCCGATAAGGCCTGTGAAAGACATCGCAATGTGTTTTTTTACAGGCTGTGTGTTGTAAAAGAAAGTATAGGATGCAAAAGAATGTGTGAAGCATTGACATTATGGTATGCCTGGATACAATATTTCCAATTTCAATTATGTCTCCTCTAAGAAGGTTAAATCTCACTTCCAATTCTGGTACGGTTCCTCAAACCCTCAAAACAGTGGGAGAAGTCTGGCAGAAGTATCTGACCGACAAGCAACAAGTGTTGTGTGGCCACGTCTAACCTCAGATGGCATAGACTTTCTACAAGATAGAGGACTGTAATCAGTATAGGACCTCAGCTATGTGCTGGCTCTCTGTGTTTCTGTAGCAACCTTCGTACGGATTTCTCATCATTTTCCTGAAGCTCTGACCACAGATGTAAATTGTAGGGCTTGGAGCCCTAGATACCATCATTTGGCAGGAATTAGGAGCTATGTTAGGTTACCACCCTAGACTATTACGTTTTTAACTCCTAATAGCCTTTTTCTATAGCCTACATTCATAGGCTGATCTAAAAACCATCTTCAACACTGTTTCCAAAGGCTGTAGTAGGAATTCTGGACAGTGCCAATCTGTTCAGAAACACTATCACATCTCAAATGATTTTACTGGAAATCTAGAATTATCAGTCCGCCAAAAGCCAGAAGAAGATAAACAAGGCTAAATTAGCAGATCATCTTAGTCTGAAGGCGGTCACCTCAGATGTGGTGACATGAATCTTGTTTTATTACAGTGCAATAAAGTAAATCCCTTGACATAATGCCCAGGTTTGAAAGCAAAAGCTAAAGCCAGATGCAAGGCATTATGACATGTGGTTTTAATCTAGAATCCAGAATGTTTTTCCCACCGATCGAAACAATGCTACTGTCAACAAACTTGAATTTGGGCAAAGCAAGGGATGATCGGAAAGAGACGGGCCGTGCCATGCAGTCATTCTTATTTCCACAAACACACTGATCCACATGACATCTCTGGTCCAACTGAAACAAAACAGTAGCCACCGCAATCTACGGAGCAGCCGAAGGGATAAAACCAACCTTCAATTTTGGATGTACAGGCTATCGAACAGGAAGTCCAAAACAAACAAACTTGCCCTGTTAATGACATAGACTCGACGCCCTGACAGGACACTACACAAGACAAAGTGACCACCACAGTCAAAGCAGTAATTGGCCAGATTAAAATAGACGGGACCAGGACTTCAGAGTTTAGACGAGCGATGACCACAGGGTTTTTGAGTAAAAGAGGGGCTGACATTACTGTTCTTCAACAGAGAGACTGGGTAAGATGGATGGATGCACACGTACACACTCAAATGAAAGCGCCATTCATGAAGACCCCTGAATGAATAGTGCACTATGCCTGGTGGCCCTCAGGAAATTCCACAGGGTGAGTGACCGCCGCTTGCCAGTTTACTCAGAAAACATTTTCTCTATCATATTGTAGCGATAATGAAATTCCGCTGTTTGCTCTCTAAAATCATCCTGCTTGCATTGTTCTAAATCCTAGCAGACAAAACAAACCCACACAGAAGTGTCTGGTGCAAACTGCGCTATGATGATACAGCTAATATGGCAGCTGGACATAACCTATCCCAGTGATATGCTGCCTGAGTCCAATTCGTAAAGAATGACCTCCCAAATGCAGGACCTGTGAAGAGCAGTGTTCGGGAAGCTACTGTGAATCTGTAGCTTGACCAACTACAAGCTACTCATAAATTAAAGTAGTTAAGCTACATTCAAGCTACCCTTTTGAAAAAGTAGCTAGCTACACTACAAGTTACTGTCAAAAAGTAGCTAGCTACATTGAAACTACTTTCAATTTTATTTTATTTTTTTACAGTTAACATTACAAATAACTAAATATTATTAATGAAGAATTATAATGAAGTTATAAGTAAAATATAATAAAATTATACGTACAATATTTGGGGTTTAAAACAGCATACTGTAATGCAATCTTGATTTCAAAGAGTAGGGTGAATGCAGGTTGATTTGGACACTTTTCCAAGCCATTTCAATGACAAAAAGTGTCCCAATCATTTGATTTTGTAAACTATTCGATACACACAATAATAAAATACTGTATAGTTAAATAGTTATTATAGTTATATTAGTATATTGCTACAAACGTAACACCAATGTAAGAACAAAATGTATGCAATTTAAACTGGATACGGAGGAGTCATAAAATAAGCATGTTAAACTCACAGCACATGCGGTATTTACTGACTGTGAGTGGAGACTTCAATCATCAGCTGCGCGCGTGAACACTGCGCTTTGCGTGAATCCCGCCGCAACCATCCTTTGCCAAATGATAAGCACACTACTATATCGCAATTTTATTTTTTTAAATTATTATTTTTTTTTTATTAGATAATATTATGACCGTTCATCATTGTAAAATAGACATCTGATCTAGAGTGCAATAAAGAAGAAATATACACTCCTGTACATCCTTTGTAATATCATCAGATGATCTCTTGCCGGTGGAAAGACTGTAAAGCTGCGTGATATCACAACAGATGGTGGTAATGAACAAATTAATTTGTGATCTAGTCAGAAGAAGACGCTGCACTCCTTAAATGCATTACAGGCTCGTGACTCGTCAGAACGCAAAACGGAATGTAGTGTTTGGTCGCGCTACACAGCTATTTGCTGGAAAAAGTAGTTAGCTTCAGGAAAAGCTACACTGTTTTAAAAGTAGTGTCGCTACTGTAAAGCTACTGAAAAATGTAGTTAAGCTAGTAGCGTCGCTACTTGTAGCTAGCTACTCCCCAACACTGGTGAAGAGCAAATAATATGTTTACAGACTAAACAAATGTACACATTAATTGTACACATTCTGACATACCAGTGCCCTTAAACCAGATTCAGGTAGCATGTTATATACATTCTAACTGTTTAATTAACTTGCTCTAAATTGTCTTTAACTGTTGGTAAGGTAATGATGCATAAAAGCTAAAAATGTTTTGTTCATTTACATGAATGGTTTGTTTCGGTCTTTACAGTACATTTATAAAATGCAAAATGCATTTACAATTGAAAAACAAGCTAATGATAAAAATCCAATAACCCGATATAGTTTTAAAGTCAAAATGTAACCACAATGAATAAGCTACCAGACAAGTAAAGGTGTTTACATGTAAAATTAAATGTGTATGGCCTGTTATATGCAAATGTCTGTTTGATTTCACATCAAAACTGGTGAAAACCTGACAATTTAAAAACATCATGTAAATGCAGATTTGTCATATTTATCAGTATTTTTTTTTGTAGCCTATTGCACATGCACACCCGTTCATCACAAACCTATGCCTTAAACACTTTATTCAAGTGAACATAAATGTTTCTAGCTTTCAAGAACACTTGAAAGTTAGAAACCTTTTGGGTTTTTTATGCATAATCAGTGTAAGATTGTGCATGTAAATGTTTTGATACAATATGTGAGCTGTGGAAATCCAATTGAACTGAACTGAATGAGTTTAAATCTCAATAACACAATGACTTTGGGCCTGCAAAGCCTTGATGTGTAACTATGAAGTAACTTTCACATCAAAACAGAACATTTTATACAGTTGGTATTTCCTATTTTTACGCACCTCCTGAGTTAAGAAAGCGCTTCCCGCTGCGGACAGAAGGATACTTCTCTGCCAGTCGAGGATCTGGCCAGATGATTCCCTCAGCAGCAAACACCAGCTTATGATTGGTCTGTAGGAACTTTCTGAAAATCTCCTCAGGTCCACCAGCAAAGATGAGGTCATAACTGAAGAGGGAAAAGGATAAGTAAATAGTCTGATCAACCGATCAGCCTTTTTTTTTTTTACATTTAAGACATACAAACAATGTTTGCTAATCCACGTCCAGTTTATTTAATCAGCTATGTCTATTTGAACTGAACTCCTGGAAGTGAGGGCAGGGCATTTCGAAGGCATCTAGGTCTTCGATTTCAGACACTGTTAATATGCCTGGTAACATTAGTAACTATAAATGTCATCAGAGGAAGTAAACTGTGAGGGAGGCACCATGGTTTCCTCTCGTCTGGGGAGCACCTGTGCACACAAGTCATTTCCCTTTTTCTAGCATGACTTAAAATCCATCTCTGGAATATGTGACACAGCTTCAATGTGGCAAAATGGTCTGAACTACACATCTAAAGGAAATATTACTGTAAAATATATTTCAGAGGAACCCTGAACTCTGATTTGCGAGCTCCTTACCTACATGTTTAGGTTATACATAAGGATAACTATGTCTGACGTACATCCCTGAATGTTGTTATTCTGAACTTTCTGAACTCTAAACTGTTTAGGACCTAGACATGTGTGTAATTCCAGATATGGGTGTTTATAAATAGCTGCTTCATAGTTTAGAGAGTTCTGCAATGAGGTTTTGATTCGATTTAAGGTGTTTTATATAAAGGACCCCTTGATAAAACAGCACTGTATGTGACATGTGAAGTTAACTTCAAACACTAATCATTTTCTACTTTGTGATCATAATAATCACTCATTTCTGTAGAACACACCCAGACCTGCACGGCAAAGAAACCCTCTCGCAAACACTTTCATTATAAATTGACATGCCATACTTTCCCTTGAATGATGAAGTTAAATAACAGGCCATTTATTATGGTTGATTAGCATACATTGAGTGAAAAGCCACCATTTCGGCAAGATCACTGGTTATAAAGGTAGGTCTACAAAATTGTTGAACAAATGCCCAACCGGTTTGCCTTCACACAGAGTCTTGCTGTTTCCCATTGAGCTGGCAGTAATACTGTAAGATTTCTCCCACTGAGGCTGTTCAAAAATGGTCATGCATTTAAACCTATGACACATTTGTTATAGTTGATTTGCATTGCACAAAGCTATGCATTTAGCCAGTCATTTTAACTATATCTAGACTATATATTTTCCCGGGCATACTTTACTTTCAATTACAGGTAATTACCAAAAAGTATTTTGTAGCAAATTAGAGTCTATTCACAGCTAGTCCCCACATAGAGAAATAAATATTGGATCTTTTTCTCTCTTGTATGTGGACCACTATTTTTACTGTTCAGTCTATCTGATGCCATTTAAGGGGCTTTTCACACATGAAATTGGGTCCCATTTTATATTAGGTGGCTTTAACTACTATGTACTTACATAAAATATGTACAATGTACTTATTGTGTTCATATTGTATTGCAAAATGCTTTTGCTTCTATTGAGGTGGGACCCGGGTAAGGTTAGGGACAGGTTTGGTGGTATGGGTAGGTTTAAGGGTGGGTTAAGGTGTAAGGGATGGGTCAACCGTGTAACTATAAATGTAATTACAGAAATTAATTACAGATGTAATTCCATGTAGGTATTTTAAAAAATATAAGTACAATGTAAAAAACATGTATGTACACAATAAGTGCATTGTATCACATAGTAAAGGCCACCTAATATAAAGTGGGACCTGAAATCTTGGCTGAGCATCCTGAAAAAAATGTGATTCATGGTGTAATTTTAATAAATTACATATGGTTGGACTCTGACAGCCTAACCATCTGAAAAGTTTCTCAAACCTCTATAAACCCATCAGACTATTAAAAGAAACCAGCTTTATGGCCAGTTAATATAATCCAACCTTTTTTCCCCAAAAGGCCCTTGCCAAGCACATTACCTGTCCACAAATAAGATCACCAAGTCCTCTTGGTCAGCCAGAGACTCCATGGCTTCCTTTAGTAGTCGAACCTTCTGGCCTCCACCGATGGATCGACCCACATCACCTCCCTTCCACTCCTCTCCCATCCCCAGCACCTGTGTTCAGTATACATCAGTTCAAACAGCATCTCAATCAACATACTACCATCAGCTTGAAGAAATGAAGCATCTACCAGGTGAGAGAATGTGTGACCAGTGTTGGGGGTAATGCATTACAAGTAACGCGAGCTACGTAATCAGATTACTTTTTTTTGTAAAATAACACAAATGTATCTAATCCCCATTTTATTAACCAATGTTTTTGCTGCTGACCTTTGATGATCCAGTTCAACCCTACTAATAAGCAAAAATGACTTTAAATAAACTAACAATTGTGCTTCATTGTTTTTTTATTGCTGAAGTGTGTTTCTTTTAGTGCGTTCTACTGTACAGACGTGAATTTACTTTTCCTTCAGCTTGAGGTTTATTCATTACACTTTTTGGTGTGAAGGGGCTTTTACATTTGCTATAAATAGAACTTTGTATATTAAAAACAATCAAGCCCTGCTCATATTTAAAAAGTAACGCAAAAGTAATGTAACACATTACTTTCCATAAAAAGTAACTAAGTAACGTAATTAGTTACTTTTTAGGGAGTAATGCAATAATTGTAATGCATTACTTTTAAAAGTAACTTTCCCCAACACTGTGTGTGACCTTACCTTCACATTGTATTTGAAGTAGTTTGCTGACTGCATGAAGCGGTGGAAGCCATCAGTCTCTTGTGTTGCAACAGTAAGCACAAGCAGTTTTTCTGGTGACAAGAAAATTGAGAAATAAAAAGTGTATGTTAGAAAAAAAGATGAAACGTCTAGCAAAGTAAAATAGCATGTGGGAGGGTGGAAGTGTAGAAACACTACTATTCCTAGACTGTATTCCTCAAAAACCTTAAGATATCTAGGATTTTTTTAAGTTAAAAGTTGTCCAAAACCCTGCCATTCCCTAAAGAGCCTCTTTACCAAAATATATATGTTCCTTTTGGCCTACAGTATGAAGTAGAGGGTATCTTGTTACTCCAAACCAAACCTCAAACCTATGTCAACACTCACAAAACTGATTCCCAAAGTTCATCCCTTCCTCTTGTGAGAATAAATGCACAGTAAAGTTAAAATCACCATGATTTGAAATGGTTTTGGCAGGACATGTTCTATAATGAGTAGTAGTGTTACATATGATGGTGGTAACAGTGGTGCTGATGGTTAGTGATCAGAAGAGGGTCTTAGTTTCGCAAGCGCCCGCTACATTTCCGCTGGACGTGCCAGTGAGCAGGTACAGACCCTCTAGTAGAGCAGTGTGTGAAAATACATTCCAGACTGGGGTGTGAAGGGCTGGGTAACTTCAATCGTTCGTCATCTCTAGGGTTCGGAAAACAGCCCCAGAGAAATCTTAAGCAAACTTGAGGTAAAAAAAAAACAAAACAGGATGCATGTTCGTCATCTGTAACACTCTAACACAGTGTATGTTATACAACTATAAGATTGCAAACAAATGGCAAGCATGTAGAATAAATCCTCAATTGTTTTTGCATGTGATGGTGTGGCCTTCAGAAAAATGATTTGATCTACATTTAAAACGCATTTACAGAGGTATCAGAGTGATTAGTCACACGATATTTACGGTTCAGGTGATCTTTGCACACTAAACTGGGTTAGAAGAAATTATTTTACCACTCAAAAAGTAAACACTGAAACTTGAAATGTTTTCTCTATAGTAGGAACAACGTGGGAAGGTTTCTAAATATCTCTGGTGGGAATTGGGTTGAATGGGAAGGTCAGAGTCTTTGCCTCATTCATTTTGGAATGGAACACATTATTACACATTCAGCAATAAAATGAGGAGTTATGCCAGGGGCAACAGGATTTCTCACCTCATGAAATGGCCCAACTGAACCTTTCAGAATAAAGTGTTAGTATGTGCTGAGCCACAAACAATACAAAAAAGCCTAATTACAATTTGATTTCTTGGACAGAACATCCTTACCCTTCTGTCCTACCGTCAGTCTGTGTGAGCAAGAGATAGTGAGGAGGTGTGCAAAAATCAACCCCTGCCCTCTATTTCTTCTCAGTCAGTATTCTGTTTCACTTGGAAATACATCAGAATACTGAAGTAAACTCGACCGCAACTTCGTGTTTACACTAACTTAAAAAATCCAAAGATTTTCACGCTTAAAGAAAATAGCTTACTGAAAATACTGTATTTTGGAGCCCATGTGAAAATTTCAGGGTTAGAGGTTCAAACCAGCCCATTTATTGAAGTTGGAACATCAACACTTGAATGAATGTGCAACATTCTGTCCCAAGGTTTTTTCTTCACCTTACCAAACAATTTTAGGGATTTTTTTCCATAGTCCCTGTTGCCTTTGGCTTGAATTCTGTGGCTCTAAGGTCTTATCAGCATTAAATAGACATGCGTTTGCACTATGATCAATCACATGGCATTATAGCTCAAATGATCGGCTTAAAAAAACCTCAAAAACGACTTTAAAAAAGTTTATGGAGGCTGCCATATCTTTTAAGATCTATTTGTGACATTTTATGCCTTTATTTTGATAGGACAGTAGCTAGACAGTAAGCGAAGTGGGAGAGAGATAGGGGGACAGGATCGAGAAAGGTCCACGAGCCGGGACTCGAACTCGGGACGCCCAAATCACAACGGTGCTATATATCGTTACCAGGGCCGGCGCCACGGGGGGGTGAAAATAGATTTTAATTATGATTGAAATATAATGGTTTATTTAAAAAATGTAGTTGCCAAATGCATAGGCTTTCTAGCATTAATATGATGCTACTATAGCAACAATTTAGGACAGTCCGTTTCACAAAGTCACATTTTAATTGTTACATCTCTGACACAAATTCCCACGCAAGCGGTGCAAGAATCCAGCACTACTGAGTAAGCTATGATGAAATAATTTTTTAATGTTTAATAGAGGGCTAGATGATCGTCGAATTTGGTGGCTGTGCGATTTTGTTTTATTCAATACTCTGCCATCTGTATTTGCTAAGTAGCTTTTAGTAGGGTCGTTCACTCAGAACACATTTTTTCATTCCACTGCTGTACTTTTCCATTGTATTTCAATGTAAATGCGCTACCCGACGTCTTGAATGCTGCGCTCTCGTCTCAGGTCTTTATAGCAGCTTCTCACGCATAATTCATCATAATATCATCATAATACATAATACATCATTCTAAAACACGGCGCTCAAGTTTTCAGATTCAGCTTCTAAAACACGTCTCTAGGCCTTGCACTTTAAAAAAAAAAAACTTCCACTGACCTGTCTCACGTCCAAAATGAACCCTGTATTCTAATAGTTGTAGTAGTAGTGGGCAGGTTTGTTTACGGTCCAACAAATACGTGAATGGGCCACATATGTTTTGTTTTTTTTTACTTTTACTTTGTGCTATATCATCGCCCCCTTTCGTCACCTCAGCCGCCCCCTCATCAGTGCTGCGCTGGCGCTGGCTCTGATCAGCATGTTGCCCACAAGGCTATCAGCGCTGACCAGGGGTCCAGCTCCTTCTGACTGATGAATTACCTCCACAGTCAGCACTCAAAATTTAGAAAAAAAATCTTCCATGGAAGCATATATACAGTATGAGACAAGGTATAAGAAAAGGGCCAGAATATGAATCATAATTCTGATAAACACATTACAATGGGTGAGGACTTCTTAAGAAAAAATCTCAGGTCTTTATAGCAGCTTCTCACACATAATTCATCATAATATCATCATAATACATAATACATCATTCTAAAACACGGCGCTCAAGTTTTCAGATTCAGCTTCTAAAACACGTCTCTAGGCCTTGCACTTTAAAAAAAAAAAACTTCCACTGACCTGTCTCACGTCCAAAATGAACCCTGTATTCTAACAGTTGTAGTGGTAGTGGGCAGGTTTGTTTACGGTCAGACAAATACGTGAATGGGCCACATATGTTTTTTTTTTTTTTACTTTTACTTTGTGCTATATCATCGCCCCCTTTCGTCACCTCAGCCGCCCCCTCATCAGTGCTGCGCTGGCGCTGGCTCTGATCAGCATGTTGCCCACAAGGCTATCAGCGCTGACCAGGGGTCCAGCTCCTGACTGATGAATTACCTTCACAGTCAGCACTCAAAATTTGTGCAAAAAAAAAATCTTCCATGGAAGCATATATACAGTATGAGACAAGGTATAAGAAAAGGGCCAGAATATGAATCATAATTCTGATAAACACATTACAATGGGTGAGGACTTAAGAAAATCCTGAAAACCTTGGAGACTTTATTGTGTTTCATTGTGATCCATCTGATTCCTGTCTACGTTCCAGGGAGGCTATATCCCAGCATGTCTTGAAACACTTGCGTAATGGATGAGTGTGGGCAATCAGGGGGTGGATGCTACATTCTCTCTCTGTAGTCTTCCCCTAAGGCCAACAAATAAACACCAATTGCTTTGACCCACAATTGACCTAACCTTCGCTTGAGCCCTTAAGATAACAGCAAAAAACTGTAAACCTTACTCTACCCACTATCTTCCTTTGGCTAGAGTATGAGAGAGTGAGGGCTGAATCCAGGCTACCAAACTAAGAGAGAATCAGTTGCTATGGCTACAAATATACACACAAGTATGTGATGATGCACAACTCCTGCTGTGATGCGAACGGCACCGTCTGCAATGATGTGAAGATCAGCAGCTGACTTAGACATTCCACTCAGCTCAAATACAGGATTTGCCAAGAAGATTTGTCTTATGTCTTGTGCCATTTCTCCTGCTGTTGCAGAGAAGTTGTTGCATTGATATGTGGTTGCAAAGTTGTTCTGGTTGGTTTTTTGGGGGTTGATAGGTGATTGCTAGGGTCTTCTTATTGTGTTTCATTGTGATCCATCTGATTCCTGTCTACGTTCCAGACAGAAAGGCCTGGTTCCTCTCATGTAAGCTATATGATGTTCTATAACATGCTGTAAATGTTTAATCAGCACATCTGGATGGTAATGTTATATCCAACGGAAGGCCGCTAGAGAGTCATGCCGGTCACGCCATGTGCACACGGCATCCTATAAACGCCCAGGTTTCATTAAGCCTTGTTGTCTGAGAAAGCCCCTTTCTGTGAGCAGGTTGGGTTTAAAATAACAGCTGGGGAAATCCATACAATGAAGTTTCTGGACCGCTACTCTGCAATGTGATATCTGCAAGGCTTCCTCTAGTTCTTGTTCAGTGGTTACGTCACGGTTCATGTTAAAGAAAATCTGAAGGGTCTTTAATCATTTTAAAATCCCATGAGCAAGAAAAAATCTCTTTATCTCAGTTGTTTCTCTAACAGCGAGATTAAATGTGACCCTGGACCACAAAACCAGTCATAAGGATCAATTTTTTTGAAATTGAGATTTATACATATTCTGAAAGCTGAATATAGAATATATATAAGAATATAAGAATATATAAGCTTTCCATTGATGTATAGTTTGTTAGGATAGGACAATATTTGGCCGAGATACAATTATTTGAAAATCTGGAATCTGAGGGTGCAAAAAAATCAAAATATTGAGAAAATCGCCTTTAAAGTTGTCCAAATGAAGTTCTTGGCAATGCATATTACTAATCAAAAATTTAGTTTTAATATATTTACAGTAGGACATTTACAAAATATCTTCATGGAACAAGATCTTTACTTAATATAGGGAAAAAGTATTGCACGCGAGTGCTTTGTAAACATCCTTAAATATACAAAGCATCATGAAGCTTTGCGATGCAGTAACAGTCAGATCCAAAACAT